AGACATCAAGACTCACTGCTAGGAGGTACTGGGAGAAGATTCCCCTCATCATGACCACTGACTATCCACACAGGGCGGCAACTTCTCTACCCGGGAGTATCTTAGTATTTTACCTTTGTAACAGGTAAAAAGAATTACGTATTGAAGAACAGTCTTCCTGGTACTGGAGAACAGTCATCCCGGTACTGGAGAGCAGTCATCCCGGTACTGGAGAACAGTCATCCCGGTACTGGAGAACAGTCATCCCGGTACTGGAGAACAGTCATCCCGGTACTGGAGAACAGTCATCCCGGTACTGAAAGTGTGTGTGTGTTTAAACGGGACTCAAACCTATGCGTGTCTCTACGGCCAAGTCCTGCTGAAAGTTGATGACCAGAGGCACGAGAAGAAAATATAATGTTGATGAAGAAAACGTTTGAACACTCGTACCTAGAGACACTTGGGAGTAATCAGAGTACAGTGTCCGGGTCATTAACGTGAGTGTAGTACTATGGACTCTAAACCTCCTTAGAGTCCTAGTACTCCAACTACCGAGGAGCTTCACGTCTGTGTTAACATTACAACAAGATACATAACGATGATCTATACATTATTGTTTTGTGCTAAAATGGACTAATTGAGTTACTTTTCTAATACTATGAAATATTTCGAATTGAAAGATGTGCAAGAACTAAATATTATGTCAGAAAGTTTACTAAAGCTTCTAGGATGATGAAACTGTTACGGCTGAACGAGAAATCATTGTCTTTCGTGAAACCAAAGATGAGATGAGTTAGTATTAGAAGCAATAAGAACTTATGTATATCAAGAATTGGCCAGTAAGTGTCTGTGGTAAGGAAATATATACTGTACTCGCAAAGGAAAGTGACATGGTGGTACCTGACTCACTCATAATAAAGGATTTACAGATTGAAGAACCTGTTGCAGAGTCATGAAAACAGCCAACAATATGTTCCTAAATTCAAGGATAAACTAACCGATAGAAAAACAATATGAATCCATATTTAATCATTATATTACATGCTAGTATTTTCTCGTGAGCATATTACAGGGAAGAAGTACCTCAAGGTGTACTTGTAATACCCTATCAGTTAATATTTGGTGTAATTATATAGAGTAAAATAGTAATTGGATAAACTTGTACGTCATTGGTGTGTCAGCAGTGAAGCTAGATGAAGCTTGTTAAGCTCTGAATGTCATCACGAGAAGTCAGAAGACATAAAAGATGACCTAATGACCTATAATATGTCTTGTGTGCATTAAACAAAGACATAATCAAATAGATCTTTAAAACTCAACTTTACGGTGTTCTCTCATACAAGATAAACCATAATGCATTTCTATTATAAGCCTTTGTTGTTCCTTCTATATGTGACCTTACTATTGATGTTTGTTTGTTGGTTTGTGAGCACTGTGGTTCAGGGTGTGTAAGTGATTGGTGGTGTTTGTACGGTACTCCAGTAATCGTCAGTATTAAGGTTACACGGAAGACAATGAAACAGGAGACTGAATGTATAGCCCTGAGTATATCATAAGTGTGTCAATGTTGTGTATCTGATCCTTTGAGTGTGTTAATCGCCTTCACTGATCATTGTCATTGGTTCAGGCTTCAGTCAGGTCATTCTTCACATTTAAAACAACAACCACAACGCCTATGATGATGGTGTGATTCTTTTTATTTAACATTATTTTGTCACAAGGAGGGGAATGAAATGCTGATACGTGTAGAGTTCACAAGCTGCCGTCAGACAATAGGAACTGCACAAGTTTCGACAAATTCTATTACTTTTTGTGGATATTATGAATTGTTGTATAATTTTAACCCGTCGTAATGTTGGCATTTTTTCAACAAGGAGCCAGAAAACTTTATTAATAGTATTTGGTATTGTCACTTCTCCCGATATCAAGAATTACGATGATATTGAACACAAGAAGAATGCCCACTGTCCTTAGGGATGAGTGATGGTAAGGCAGCTCTTTCTCTCCTATTGTCTGTTTTGTACATATTAATAAGAGCTACTGTATGTATAGGAAAATCCCGAGCAAGTCAAAGGGGAAGAAAAAATAATAATATGCTAGATAGTAATGAATGGAAAACTTATACACGAGGATGATTTTATTTATACATTGGGAGAACTCTGTGTGTGTCTCCCGTGGAATGGTGGTTAGACACTATCTTGACGTCAGATTCACAAACTATAAGTCACCGCGTCAAGACTCATTTAAATGTTTTTCACTTCACAAGAAACTGATACAAATATTAGAAGCAGCCTTTACTCCCACACGGTCTAGGGACAGTTAATTTATTGCCTGCTTCATAATTTGTTACCATGTGTGAAGTTGATGTTTATAATTGTACCTGAAGTTACAGGGAGTTTCAGAATCGGAATAGGTACTTTAACTGTGGTCATGATTTAGTCATAGTTCAATTTATAGTCACAGAATTTTTTTAATTCAACAGAAAATTCCGTAATACGAGGTAAAACGTGGTTCATTAATATGGTCTGGGGGAAATTGGACGAGTTTGAGGAATTCATGTGTGTGTGTGTGTGTGTGTGTGTGTGCTCTGCCAGGAAGAAGTTTCATGGATATCACTAATTCTACACTTGATGATCTTAGGCTGATCTTTGGATCATATACGATGAAGTACAGTAATTTCTCGCAGCTTTCCCTCACCAGCAACAACCTAACTTTGAGCTTCATGTTGCCAGCGTCACTAAAGATTTATCCTCAGTGTTGGTTATTAACTTTCGACTCATAGAGGCTGTGGGGCGTTAACAGTGTAGTAAGAAATAATTATCTGTGTTACCTTGCAGGCTCTTTACGCCCACGTCTGTTTTGCTGGGTCAGTCATTGTCCTGTACATAATGAATCGTAAAACTAATCACTAAGACGGTGATCACGTTATGGTAGTGTACATAGAGTGTTGTTGGTATTTACCCACCGTTAAGTCATCTAGACGAGGTAAATATTGCGTTTATATTAACATGATCATCCTCAGTGTGTGTGGCCGCCTCCTGACTCACCTTCTACGTGACCCTGTTGTAGTTTGGTCTCCGAACAGGTCACTTCCGTTCATAAGTGTGAGACAATAGACTGTTGGCTGAGTTGCGACTTGTTAATGAGTCTCGGTCTAGTTTTCTATTAAAGTCAGAATATGCGAACAAGGTGGAAACAATCAGTGCATTGTTTACACTCGATTTAAGGTCAGACAGAAGGGTAAGTTTAAAGCAGGAGATGAGGTTACACTTCAGACAAGGATTAAGGTATTAAACTTCTGGTAAGGATCTAGGAGGAACTTCGTATGAGTCTCGAGTAAGCTTCATTCAGTGGTTCATTTTAAACTTTACACAGGGAATTAAGGGAAAGTCCATGTAAGGGTGTAGGGAAAAACTTCATGGTAGGGTGACGGCGAGGCTTCAGAAATCAATAGAGTGGAAGCTGAGATCAACACGAAAGTGATTCTTCTTAGGGGGATATTTAGTCTCGTTCAGCAACTATTATTAACGATAGGACAAACGCCAAAGATAATGAGAAAAATCATTGTGTAACATAAAATAATTGCCCTCTGTATATAACCAATTGTATCCCTTGTATATTAAAAGTGTGTCGGCATATTGTAAGCCTTCGCTGGTAACTATCTGGCATATTTTGTGATACTCTCTACACCCTCGTAAGAAGGGATACATCATTTGTAGTACCATGAACGTATTTGCTCATTCTAGGGCATAAAAAGTCCTGTAGTGTTTCCCGCCATTAGTGCGAGCATAGCTAACTGGGTAGACTGCGAGTTACCTGCGCGCGCACATCATCACCTTCCACAATTACTTTTCTCTTGGACCAGCACGTCAACGGAGACTGGCCAGGGTCACTTGAGAGGAGAGGATAAGTGGTATTAAAATATAGGTTTCATTTTATTACATTTTCTCCCATAAGGTGGCCGAGGGACACGTGTTTGTTGTGGTGGCCGCGTCGCTCCCATAAAGAGAAGACATTTTCAGAGAACAGTAAATTATGTACATGACATTTTTTCCTCACTTTTACTCTCGTGTGCAGTTTCTTGCGCTACACTAACGAGCCTCACTGTATGCTGTATAGTATTGTATGATACACTTGGATATATGAAGCATGTTTCTTTAAGTGTCATATAACGTCTTTATTCTTATTCTCCCGTGTAAGGGGGATTTAGATGTACTTTAGAAGGGAAAAAAAAGGCTAAGCTTCTGAGGCCAGTATCTCACTATTACCATAAAGCTCTGAATGCCTCGGTAATATACCAAATCACACAAGAAGTCTTTCAAAGTAGACTCGTTCTGACAGGTGCTTCTCTCGCTACCTTTAAGCTGCCCGGTAGACGGTTCCAGGATAGCCTACTTTAGGTCGTTACCATTCACTAGTCATTACCTTTACTTTACAATTTTGTTTTTCATTATAATTATCCCACTATAATTTAATTAAACGTCCTTAAATGACAGGTAAGTATCGGTCAATGGGATGAGATGACTCAGTATTAGCCATTGTATAATATCTTCGTTGCTGTTTTCATGATATTAAGTGTTTATGAAGATGACAGAAGCTCACTACAGCTTTACCGGTTCATGTTACTTGTGCGTGTCAGACTCACAGTTGTATGTTTCTATGCTTGACCAACATGATATAATCTTTATTTTCACTTTATTATGTTCACTTGTAGTTGATAGTTTAATGTATGTTAGTTATACAATATGTTGTAGACAATACCTGTATAATGTAAACAACTTTGTCCAGAAGATGTTTTTAACCCTCCCCGTGAAGCGATGTACAGTAAAGTATATTGGAGATGTGTGTGTGTGTGTGTGTGTGTGTGTGTGTGTGTGTTAGATGTGTCACGTGGAGGATATCCTTACTTTTATTGTATGTTTGTACAACTACAAACAATAGAGAAGCTTATTTCCCTATTTGTCAATCTTTGCATATGATATCAGGCTTTAATAATCCATTCTAGAAAAAACTATTAGTCCTGTAGAGTCATAACTGTATTAGAAGAATTATCATTATACGGACGAGTGCCGCCTGCTGAGCGAGGGAGTAGTGGTGCTGTGTTGACGACTGGTAGTCAATCTCCTCTTTGATTGAAGGTTAATAATTTTTCGTCCTGCAAAGTAGTGGGATTCTCATTATTTATTCATAATTTCATTTTTTTTAATAATGCATATATCTGTATATCTATTGTTTTCTGTATGTACAGTACATCTTATAAATGAATATATATATATATATATATATATATATATATATATATATATATATATATATATATATATATATATATATATATATATATATATATAATTTTTCAAATTGGGCAAACATCATAGATTTTGATAATTTATATAATATTATTGACCTCATGAGTCATAATTTTAATATGTTTACGTTTGTATGGGAGAGACACGACACAGTGTGGGTGAGGTCTGGTGTTGTCTCTCTTGCTGGCCTACAGTACAGTACATGAGCCAGTGATGGGACCAACCTCTTAATGGTTTAAACTATATGAAAAACAACTAACCAGAACTATAGAATAAGACGCGAGGGTTATGAAATAATAACCACCAAGAGTCAAACAAAACTATAGTTATAAAACGTGTGAACACAAACTGGCCAGTGTTATAAGTATGAACAACAGGACCTTGGGGCTGACCATTAGTCTCACACTACAAATCAATAAATTGTTTAACATTATTTAGAATTATGCGTTAGAATTAACCATATGACTCTCTTACTGAGTATAATTTCAGTCGAGAATAAAACATCTTTCTCGATGTTAAACTAACTTGTTGTAAGTCTTACACCTTCACCTTGTTTTGAGTTCCATCTTAATGTTTTTACATGAAATAGAATGTTAAAGTAACCCGTGATTGTTATATTTTTTAAGAGTTTCCTAAGTCTTAGAGTTTATCACACTGCTAGTAGTGATGCAAGTTAAGCCAGGGGGTGACGACACCTTGTCATCAGCTGTAGCCGTATTGATAAACTATTATATTACACCTCCATGCTGGTTCTGTTTGGTTAAGGCGTTGTCTGCATCACAATGATGTAATATTTCACCTCTTCAAGTAAGCGGGGGACGACGAGGTTAATTTAGCAAGAGGTGGAGATAGTTCCTGACTTGTCCGCAAGAGAGGTGACAACAGTGTGTTATGTATGTGGTTGATTTTTGTAATATATATATATAATTGTTTTGTGCCAGAGATATATATATATCATTGTCCTGTACAGCAGTGGTGTCTATGTCGACGGCATATTTTACAAGACATTCCCAAAGAAAAATGAATATGTTTTTCCTTCCCACTGAATGATGTTTGTAGTAGGCATTATAAACGTCCAGACGAGAATGTGCTGCAGTACTTGGTGTAGTCACTTGGCAACAAAATAAAGTATTTTTGTACTTCTGTGGTTCTTTCACGTCCTGCCCCTCCTCCCCCCCTCCTCCCCCACCGACAACTGACAAATCTTATGGTAAGTTCCCCTCCACTGTTTACAATGGTAATAGCGGCGTTGTTGTGCATCTCATTTTTCATTTTATGTTAATCTTTCTAATACTTTTTTATCTCCAAAAAATACCATATTATGGCTCATTCACTGGAGACAAGTGCTATGTGTTCACCTCTGGCATCACACAGCTTGACTGACGTGTTTACCTTCGGCCTTGTCCCTGCGGTACTCTTGGTGGCGAAAACTTTTGGGTAAGTAGAGAGGAAAGAGCCCAGGGGAGAAAACCTGCAGAAAACAAGTGGGGGGGTGTTAGGGAGGGTCCTGGTAGTGAGGTGTTAGGGAGGTGTCAGGATTTACTGACATAGTCATATACCTGCATAAGCGAAACTGTTTCATTCACTAGTTCGGGAAAGAGAGTGAGAAGTTAAAACGAGCCAAGTTCAGGGTGGCGGTGGAGGGTCGGCAGATCTAGACACGAAGCAGCAGTGGCGGCAGAAGGTAGCAACTATTCCTGGTCCTCCGTAATTATCAAGCACGCCTCCACCCACCTCAAACCTGCCCTCGTCAGTACAGTACTCCTCCTCTCCAACTGCAGGTGTGTACAGAAACATTTACGGACGTTCCACTCGAGACTGATCACTTTTAAAGTAAAATATCGAGTAAACTCTGTACAGTATTGTATTGTGTCAAGGTTCATGATGATCGTAGTTTTACCTCATATTAGGTTAAGGTTAGATTAAGTATTAATGATATTTTGTTATTCACTTTGCTCATATTGCCAGTATTTTCGTTATTGTTAATTAATTATAAAGTAAATGCTTATTGTAATAAAGTTAATGCGGACCTTTTAGCTCTCTGCAACCCCTTGTAAAAAACCCTTGGTAACTCCAACGAACCCCTGGGACCTGCTGCAACCCTCTACTGACCCTTTTGGGCCCTTTAAAAAGCCCCTTAGACCACCCCTAAGATCCCATGGTATCCTCTAGTGTCTCCTAGTATCCCATGGAAATTCCTATAACCACTGTGAGAGAGAGAGAGAGAGAATTAGAAAGAGTAATAGAGAAATAGAAAGAGAGTGATAGTGAAAGAGAGAGTAACAGAGAGAGAGAGAGAGAGAGCACCCGATCTATTAGCAATGCGTGACGAGATTGCCCATTAACCTTCTATGAATAACAATTGATTTAAACGTCCAAATTGTGTTAAGTCATCTCCATTTATATTTGAATTCATTATGGTTGATTCCCTGTTTTTTCACAATCATGTTTGCTCGCCGTCACAAACACTAAATATTACCGATGGAAAAAAAAATATATACCTGTCGTTCCACTGATGTTAAATGGTTGTTAGTGTTATTATTATTATTATTATTATTATTATTATTATTATTATTATTATTATTATTATTATTATTATTATTTGGCTTTTTATTGCTGTTGTTAATCCTGACTGACTGACTTACTGACTGACTGACTGAAATATATATTTTTTTACATTTTCTACCAATAAAGTGTGTAAACAATTCGTCACTAATCTTGTTTTTAATCTGAAAGATCTCATTTGGTGAATCTAGTCTCAGTTTTTCGAGAATAACAATTATTTGAGAATTTAATTAACTTTTGTGAGATTTAACGAATAGAAATTGTGCATTATACTTGGGGCATCTTCCTATCATCCTCTGTTTGTCTTCATCCTTGTCTGTCTGTCTCTCTTCCGGTTTCTTGTGTATTGACTCTCTCTCTCTCTCTCTCTCTCTGCTCCCCTGTACAATATTTCTGTTTATGCTAAAGTTCTTTCAACTATTTTATTATTGTGTGATCGTCATATCCTCGTTGCTTTTATGTGTATAGATTTCTTTTTCACCTCCTACAAGTAGCCAAGGGAAAAACAGTCAACCTTCTAAGCATTCTCACTTACAGTAATATTTTCCTCCTGCCGAGTCGTAATTGCCCCCCACCTCTCCCTCACTCCCTCCCCCGCGTCGCTAATCACAAGGTGAATCTCAGTCTATTCCGACCAAGTAATGAGTTTGGCTGCTGGCGGTGAGATCCGTCACTTGCTCCCTGTCTCTCCTTCACTATTATCAACATCGTCATTATTATCACCCTACTGTCGTTACCATTATCACCAACACCAGTATCACCATCAACACTATCATCACTACCATCAATCATACAGTCATCATAAATCACTATCACTGTGCGTCACTATTTAATACTCTCAGTGAAGTATTGTAGGTGATGAGGTTGGTTGTGTTACCTGGTTTAATTATTCATTCCTCCTAATAGGCTGTATACCTGGTCTGCTGCTTCCAAATTAGTCTGGCGCTCGTGTTCACATCCGGAGTGTCGGAGCTTTAGCTGTTCTAATAGTACATGTGTCTGTCGCGATTACGGTGGCCACGTACAAATGTCAATTTAAGCACTTTAGTGTACACAACTGAGATGGGTCCAACTTTTATATGTATCCACACATGTTCACTAAATTTCCACTTTTGGTGTTTTTATCTCAACTTAAGCAATTCCACCGTTTTTGCCAGTTGGACTATTGGTAATATGTTGGTCAATACTTTAGTGGAAAATACCGTTTTTATCTAAATTATGAAGAGTAGATGTGTCCAGGAAAGTTTCAACTTCAGCCACAATGAAGGTACTATAACAATGTTACAATGACGGGGATTTATTCGTCAAAGTTTGTTTGGGAATTTTTTACTTCGTCTGAAGCTGCAGTAAGTTTTTCTCTACCTATGCATGGTGGAAGGCTGCTGTGGATAACTGATAACCTTACCATTATTCGTTTTGACCACAACAGGGACGTGCAAGGTAAGATTCTCGTGAAATTTCTGATGAAACAAAATATTTCGCAAATGAGTAAGTATGAACAAAGTTTTACTTGGTATGCTCAGGGATGAGACAAAGTCCTCCTTGTCTGTGTTGGTGCAGGTGAGAACAACGACCAGGCTTTATTGTGTTTGTTGAGGAGTAATAATCACGTTACGGGAGCCCTGGGCCCCTACTTTACGACATTCTTCTTTGAGAACTTGACATACTAGAAGGTTGGTTCCCACTTCGGTTACTTTCTGTTTACGTTACACAGGTTTTTGGTGTATTTTATTTTCCATAAACGGTTCCTTAAGTTGTTTAGAATGTATCGATACAAGAACGGTGTACAGGCCTCTTATGCTGGGACATTTTGGCTTTAAAACTCATTTTTTTGGGTGTGAAAGATAAATAATGGGCAGGTGGATTTAAGAGGCTCAACAGTCTACTCCAGATAGCAGCCATGTTTTTTATTTTGTATTTATTTTTATTTTTGTAGAGATAGAGAGGGTGAAAGAAGATCCGAGGTGGAGGAAGGAAGTTTATAGTTTGGAAATTGAAGAAATTTAGGAGGAGGTAGGAGATGGCGGGCTGACAGCCTATGCTAAGCTAATAGTGTGTTAGGGTTGTGTAATGAGTTAGTTATTGTCTGTCGGTACAGGCACTAGACATCCTACCCTTTCCCATATATGGGTGTTTAGAGGGCCTTATTTCATATTCCGCCGACCCTACTGGCGGATGCTGGTCTAGGGAGGTTGTCTATTGCCTGGTCTTATAGATCGGGGGTGGTAATGGACCTTTTGAGATTTGATAACTTTTTGGGAACCATGTACTGTATGGTTGTTGTCGTTATCTGGTGGGAGTCTTTGAAGGAGTTCTTGCTCTGATCGTTCTATCTTTTGCCAGACTCTGCTGGCCATGGTGAGTTGCTGCTGGTTGATGGGTTTTATTCTCAGGTCTCTATGTATCTCGGCTGTGGTTCTGGTGAAGGGGTATCTTTCACCTGTGACGAATCTTAGGGCTTCATTTTGAACCACCTGTATCTCAGGGCATTATTTTGGACCACCTGTATCTCAGGGCATTATTTTGGACCGCCTGTAATTTTAATAATTGGGTGGTGCTCATAGTATGAAGAAATACTGCTGGGTAAGTTAATATCGGTATGATAAATGATGTCACTAGGCGGAGTTTTATATTCTCAGGAAGCGCGTTAAGGCGGCATAGTTTTTTCAGCTCTTTTCTTGCCTTTTCCTTCCTGGTATGGACATGGTGGGATTAACCTGTCGTGGATATATGCAGGCCCGGGAGAGTGCCTCTGTTCTTGTATTCTATTTGGGCATTGTTGGTTACCAATGGATGTGTTTTCCTTCTGCATAGCTTCAGGTCTTTACCTGATAAATCGCCTGGAGTCTGGGAGACAGGTATTATCTCTGGTGTGGGTAGGTGTGAGTCCACACCCGAGATTACCGTTGTCTCCTCTGAGATTGTTGTAGTCAGGATTTGTGAGTCTAGGTCATTAAACTCTATATTGCTCAGTGCAGTTGGCTGATGCACCTGACTCTGCTGGTAGGGGAAGCTGGTCAGTTTATCTGCCTGACTCTCAGGTTCCTTATAGTGGGGGAGTTGGTGGCTCCTGTTAGGGTTTTTTTCCCCATTGGATGAGGATGATGCCCTGGCCAGTTTTGGGATGGGCAGATTGTGGCTGTGGAAGCTTTGTTCGATAATTGTTTGGGAGCAACCTGGGTGCCTATCATCCTCCTCATGGGCGTGTATGACAATCGTTCTGGCTAGAGTAATACGGCCATGTAGGTCTCTGTCTCTGACTGCCCACATGATTGCAGGGTCTGAAATGGCTTCAGGGGCCGTAGTGACTGCAGGAGTCGGGGTCCCTACCGCTAACACGTCCATGTATGTTGATACCGTAACTGCTGGGGTCGGGATCCTTACCGACAGCGCCTCTTTGTATGATTGTCCAGTGGCTGCAGGCGTCGGGGTCCCTACAGGAAACATGGCTCTTTGTGGGGGCACTGTTGTTTTTGTGGCTTCTTGCTGTGCTTCCTTGATTTTATCTTTCCTTTTGGGGCAGTTTATGGACATGGTGCTGTGAGGCCCACCACAGTTAAGACATTTTAGTGGTGCAC